ATTTGTGAAGTTTGAGTTGTTCTTGAGCGTATATAGTTTACTCAACATCTACTCTAAAAGAGAGCCTTGTTCTTGAGTGTCTTAGTGTTGTATACACGTTAAGGGAAGCTTGTTTCCCTTGGTTGTACGAAGGAAAGGTATTTTCGTTCGGGTTGAAGTCTTGGAGTGCGGTATCTCCGAGCAAGTGTTGTTGAGGCTCGTGGGACTCGAGTTCTCAGGTTGTAACGGTTTGTTAAGCACCCGTAAGCTTAACGGAAGTAGTGTAGCTCGAGAGAGTCTCTCGGGAGGCTGGATTAGCCACAAGTTGTGGTGAACCAGGGTAAAATTCGGTGTGCCTCTTACTCTTCTCTTTACTTCTCTTTTAAGTTTTTTTTTATTCCTGCGATTTCTACGATCAAACGCTATTCACCCCCCCCTCTAGCGTTGGTCACTTATTCTAACAGGGGCAGCACCCGGTCCCAGAACTTTAAATTGTTGCAGAATGTCTCAACCTCGGACAAGGGATATTTCAATGGCCTCGAAGTAAATGTCTATGCAATCCAACCGCCATTGTCCTTCTTCTTCTCCTTCTCAAAGGCATGAGAGGGTGAGGATATGGGTCCTTGGTAGGTCAGATCATGATACAAGAATAAGAACAACTGTGCTGAGCTGGAAATTTGTTAGCATTGAATAATCTTGTAATTCATTTCTGTTATTCCCTAACTACTTCCATTATTCCCTTTATTGTAATCACCTTGTATAAAATACCTAGCATACTTGTACTGAGGGTAGGAATTGATAATCAAACCTTCTCTTTCATTCTTTCTCATTCTTCTTCCCCAATCCTTCTATTTTTCCCTGTAATTTCAATCTTCTCAGTAATTCCCTGGGATTGAATTATATGTTCTTTGAAATCTGCCATTTCCTAGAACAATATCTTTGAATTTTGGTATCACGTGGTATCAAAGATGTCTGATTTTTGGCCTTACAAGATGACGAGAACCAGAGCTTTTGAAGCGGTGAGTGACGAGTCAACCAAAAGCGGAAATCACCAATTAAAAGCTATGCAAACAAATCAACTAGCTATGCTGCAGAGAACATTCTGCAGCACTGTCACAGTAGCAGATGACAGATAGCGTGCTATAACACTTCTCTGTCACAAGCACACACAGAAGCAGATGATGCAGAGGGCGTTACAGTGCCTACTGGGCAGAATGCTGTAACTGTAAAAAGCGTAAAAAATAACACCAGATATGTTTACGCAGTTTGGAGAAACTCTCCTAATCTGCGGGGCCCACGTCCGTGTAATAGCCCTCCACTAAATCATTAGATGCAAGTTACACCGGTACATAACAACATGATGAGACATCCTTCTCCGAATTGCTATGACAAAACTTCTAATCTAGGATTTCTAACCCGAACTCTGTTCAGATCCGCTTCGGCTATCACATCTCCACCGAGATCACAAAGACAAACATGTTGGAAGCCCTCTCGTTCAGCTCTAATTCATCTCTTGGACGTCACGATCTGTTTGGCGTTGAAGATCTTCTCCTTCATGTAGATCGTAACCTTCTTCACGCAAGGGAAGCTCCGGGACGCGACGGGAACGCTCTACATTAGCGTATATTCTTTGGTTTCTTTGTCAATCGCTCCCAGTAATTCCCAGGGACCAGCTGCGTTTTTATAGACTTCTCTTAACACAATCCTAGTAGGAATATGATAGTAGAAGTTGGCTTGAACTCTACTTCCTTAATCTTGATCCACAAGTAGCCTAAAGAGTTGGGATTCCTTAGCATGTACAGCTGGAGTTATTATCATGTAATCACAATCCCAATAGGTCTCTAATTCAGATTGCAGCTTAAAATCCCGTGCTCAGACCTCTGATTCCGCACACTGTGTTGCAGCATCGTGCTGTAGCATCTTCTGCGTCAACCTCGAAAACTGCAGCAGCTCTAGAAGTCTAATTAAAATAAATCTCTCCTAACAAATAGAGGTTTTCACCTAGTAAAACATCTAACAAATATGGGATTCTATTTTGCCAAAAGATTAGCCAACACCATGGATCTAACAAAGACAAGTTGGCACAAATCCAGCTCCAATTGCAGAAATTAATGGAAGGAATCAACCTTATCAGCGATCTAAGCTCTCAGACTAACCAAGAATTAGAAAACTAAGGAAATCTTGAAGAAGATGGAGTCAAAGAGGAAAGATAGGGATGAAAAATCGTTGCATTCGCATAGAAGACATGAGAGCTCCAATCATGGTTCAATTTCTGGTAATTATCTCACACGCTTTAGATTATTTGCTATGGATGAAGTTCCTTCTAACCAGAAGATATAGATTCCTATAATTCATCTTGAAGGAGAGACCATTGCTTAGCACAGATCCTATATGTGGACAGAATATGCCCTGGCCTTAAATGAAAGGTTTGATGAAAATTTTGAAGATCCTATGGAAGAACTGAAATTTTTGACTCAGCAGGGGAGTGTTAAAGAGTATCAAGGAGCCCTTGACAGGCTCCTGAGTATTGTGAATTTGTCCAGTGAGAAAGCAATCAGTCGTTTCATAGGGGGATTGGAAACTGAACTGAGCAAAGCAGTAAGGATGCATGTTGAGGACTTGTTGTGCGGTCCAAAACAAATTAAAAATTTATAAATAACCTTAACTAACCCCCAAAATATAATCAAACAAAAACTATAGCTAGGGCAAGTAAGGGTCGATCCCACGGAGAAATATTGTACTTTTTAAAACCAATTTAGTATGCTAACACGTTGTCACGAAAATAAATATAAAAGTAAAACTAAATACTACACAAAAGATAACACTTATAAAACTTATATTATAAACTTATGCTAATATAACACAAAAGAGGGGGGTTGGAATAAAAAGTAAATATTTTTTGGTTTTTTATATTTTCTTATTTTTTGGTTTTTTTAATAAAAATGGGGGAAACAAGCTCAATAGATTATCAACTTCTCCAACTAAGGTAACCCAAGAAACACCGCCAAAAACCCAAAACAAAATTAAAAAAAAAAAGAACGAACACAAATCGAAATTACACGTATAATAGGCACGTAGACAATATATTACGTAACTTACGCACTTAAAAATAGAAAAGAATTCAAAGGCTCGAGTTGATTCATATCCTTGACCACATATAGAGGATCGTCAACTCTCTATAAGGCCCGTAGTCAAAGATTCAAAGGCCTTTTGGTTACTTTGAACCCTCACTCACCTCAAGCGCTCAAATAATGATTCCAAAAGATGAAAAAGTTTATAAGAGAGCGAATCTTTCTTTCATTCTAACTCCCATGCACAAAGAATTCATGAAGAACATTTGATACACTTTAATAAACTTTAACGTCTAATGATGAAAATATTTTGCAGGTCTCCTTGAACAACTGAAGCTTAAGAATTTTAATCTATTCACATAAAAGAACATTACATATTTTCATTAAATCAAGAGTTGTTTATTGCGCTTAAACAATCCTAATTTTTATGAAAATAACAAACAAGAACACCAAGACATAAACAATCACTCTATAACGAATCTTAAAGAAAATGTTCAACTTATGTGGCTAAGAAGTTCATTTACCTTAAAATTTGACAAAACACAAGTCACAAAAAAGATTCACGTATGAATTCGAGAATCACTTAACTAAAATATGTAGCTAAATTAGTTTCAATGATAACCGAATTCGACATACCAACCTACTTATGAATTCAAATTTATAATTCAACCAATTTAACATCAATTTGCGCAAAAATTGAAGAAACTAGTAAGAATCAATTTTCATTCATAAGGGATTTAATATAAACATTCAAAAAGAACATACAAGAAAAAATGAACAAAAACATTTTTTTAATTTTCAATTTGTTTAACAGGAACAAGCTTACATAAAGCAACACTTTAACAAAGAAATCTACAAGAGAGGGAAAAAAAACAAGGATGACTTCCGGATTAATTCCGGAAGCCATTTTATTTGGTTACCTAAAAGAAGAAGATGAAGAATTTCGAAAATTGGAGCTGTTGTGGTTCGTCTCTCCCCTCCTTGAAACTGCAATTCCGTGCTCAATTTATAGACCAGAGGTTTTCTTCCTGTTGATTTGAGAGAGTAGCGTAGAAGAAACCGTTGCTTACTTGGTCAAAAGCGGAGGGTATGGCCGAACGTTAGAGCATTTGTTGTGAGAATTGAAGTCGTCGTTCAGTTACACATCGATTTTGAAAGGATTTGAATGATTCACCGCTGATTTCTTGCTTCAATCTGAGACTTGGTTGCAATTCGACTTCACCGCTTCTTTGCTGCTGCGTTGTGCCCTGTTGACCGAGATGCTGGGCCGAATTTACTTGATTGGGGTGGATGCTGGGCTGATTTATGTTGTTTGAAGACCACGAAGGAGCTGAAATTTGGGGCTGAGTTTTGCTTGCTTGTTGGAAAAATGGGAGAATGGCTTTGACCGAGATGCTAATTTTTTAAGGTTTGGGTTTTGGCCCAAACACAATCTTCTTTTTAAACTTGAGTTTCCATTTGGCTTTTTGCTGCACTTTATTCCAAAAATAGGATATCTGGTAACTTGGGTTAGGGAAAACAAAATATATTAAAATAATAACATGCAAAAAAAATGATTAAAAAGAACTATTTTTGAATGGAAATAAAAGGTTTGTAAAAATAGGAATTAAAATAAAACTGAGCTAAATGAATGAAAATTAAACAATAAAAATACTAAAAAATACCGAAAAAAGAATAAAAAATACTAACCCAAACCCGACTTATCAAATACCCCCACACTTAAGAGTTGAACGTCCTCGTTCAAGGGCCAAAAAGAATATATCATTTCTTTTTATCATCATCAAGAAGAAACAAAGTGAACTTAATACCCCCACACTTAAGACTTTATGCTCATTCACATTTTAAAAACAAAGTGAGCTAGAAATCCTATAAGGATGGAAAACTAAGGTGTGGATTTTTTGGGTTCTAACAAATGCTCTAAAGCTGCTACAAAAAAGTTTCCTAGGGGAGTCCTATGGTTTTGAACGGCTCAATAGCAGCGGTAGCAAGGTTCATCAATAAGCCTAAAAATATAAAAATCACTCAATTTTCTAAAAATAAAAGGCTCCTAAAACTGGTTTCTCTCTGGTTTTTTTCTTCAGATTTTAATATCACGCAATGGTTGATTAGGCAGCATCTAGATAATATGTGGATGGCCAGTTCTAGAAAACAAAATTCTATGGGATTCCTAGAAGGATTTCAAACATTTTAAGGGCCATTTTACCAAGAAAAGAGCATAAGACTCAATGTGGATTTATAAAGTATACACTTGCCATCTTTCAGAATTAAGCCCCAAGAAAAACAATGAGGTTTTTGGGTCAAATTTTGAAAACAATGCTCTAAATACGGAGATATGCAACTAAGAATGAAAAATATTTGGACCCAAAACCTATTTTTTTTTGAAAAAATTTTGCCCCAAAAGTTTTTTTTTTAAAAGCAATGACACAAGCATGAGCANCCCCCCCCCCCCCCCCCCCACACTTAAAATGTGCATAGTCCCCAATGCATCTATATAGTATGCAAATGGCAATATTAAGCAAGCACGGACTTAGCAAAGAGAGAAGGGGAGAGGGGAATGCAACTAAAAAAACAAAGTATACGCAGCATCAACTCATCACTTTTCCCTCCTTAAAGTGCTCGATGGACCTAAAATCTGCAAAAACATGGCTAAGACCAAGTCTTTTTAGCTTTGAAGAACTAAAAATCAGATTTAAAGAAATGCAGATTTCAAGCTTCAAGTTAGGTTCCTAAAAAAAATTCTTGTGCCCTTTTTGCACTTTCAAAAACAAAATGCTGCAGATGAGAAGGTAAAGTCATATCAAGCATGCACAAAGCAGGTCATATGCATCTATTAAACATCAAAAATCAGATAGAACACCAAGAAAAGATTGCAGATTTTTTTCTATTTCAGCACCTATAAGCTGTAAAAAGTGTAAAATTTTCATTTTGCACTCAAAAAATCAGCTTACAAAGTGCTTAAATAACTTTTCAAAATGCAAAACTTTTCATTAGTATCCAAAAATCAGCTGTAAACAATGCACATGTCTCAATTTTCAGACTACTTTTTTTAACACCCAGGCTTTAAGGAACTGAAAACTCACAACAAAGCAACCTTTAGGTGTTTGAAACTGCTGTTTTGGATCAGAATTTTGCGCATTACCATGCAAATATTTACCATTTAAGCTCAAGAATCAGATCACAAAGGCATACTATTTGGTTTGCAAGCAAAAATCAAAGTGCAGATTTCCAGCATATTATCCCAACAGAAACCAAACTTCGAACACAAAAGGATTAAGGAGACCAAAGCCCAAACCTGAGATACTGATTTGGATCAGATTTCACACCTGTCTGTGCAGATTTTTACTCCAAAGGGCATGCTTCCACCTATGACTTAATAGCCCTTGCATTTTCATTCAAATAAATGGTTAGAAGCATAAATGGAGCAAAATAAACCATTAAATCCAGTAAAGGCAGCAGTATTCTGAGTACTCCTGATGATGAAGTTTTTTTCATTTTTTTGATTTTTTGTTTTCTGATTTTCTGATTTTTTTTTATTAAAAGAAAAAACATAAGCAAGAGAACAATAGCAAAAACGAAATTAAGAACGAAAAAAAAAGTAGGTGGGTTGCCTCCCATAAGCTGCCCGGTTTAACGTCCTTGGCTAGACAAAACTAGGAAGAGTCCTAAGGTTCGACTTCTAGTTCTAACTCCTCCACTAATCCTGCAAACCCTCCCTCACGAAAGAGTTTCAACCTATGTCCATTAACTTTGAAAATTACTCCAGAGGAGTGGCTCTTAATGTCTACCGCTCCATGGCTATAGGTTTTAATAACGGTGTAGGGTCCTAACCATCTAGAGCTAAGTTTTCCTGGAAAAAGCCTAAGCTTAGAGTTGTAAAGAAGAACTTTATCTCCTATCTCAAAGTGTTTTCTAGAAAGCTTAGAGTCATGAAAGGCTTTTGCTTTATCCTTATATATTACTGAATTATCATAAGCTTCTAACCTTATCTCCTCAAGCTCTTGAATCTGCAGTTTCCTATGTTTCCCTGCCCTGTCATAATCAAAATTAACTCTTTTAATGGCCCAGTATGATTTGTGTTAAAGTTCTACCGGAAGGCAACAAGGTTTTCCAAATACCATCCTATAGGGAGACATGCCTAGAGGAGTCTTATATGCGGTTCTATAGGCCCATAAAGCCTCGTCTAATCTATCACTCCAATCTTTCCTATCGGGTCTCACTACCTTTTCTAAAATACTCTTCACTTCCCTATTGCTTATCTCGGCTTGTCCATTGGTTTGCGAGTGATAGGCAGTGGAAATCTTTTGAGTGATATGGTATTTAGAGCAAAGGATTTCTAAGGTTCTGTTACAAAAATGAGTGCCTCTATCACTAATGAGAGTCTTCGGAAAGCCATATCTAAGGATAATATGAGATCTAGCATATTTTGCCACAGTTTGAGCATCATCTTTCCTAGTTGGTATAGCTTCAATCCACTTAGACAAGTGATCAACAAAGAGCAAAATGTAAACATAACCACAAGAAGGAGGAAAAGGACCCATGAAATCAACACCCCATACATCAAATAGTTCACACACATAAATAGGAGTTAGAGGCATTTGATTTCGAGAGGAAATATTACCAGTTCTTTGGCACTTAGGACAGTTCCTACAAAAATCAGCAGCATCTTTATGTATAGTAGGCCAGAAAAAACCAGATTCTAATACCTTATGGGCTGTCCTTTCCGGTCCGAAGTGTCCACCACTCTCTAAGGAGTGGCAAAAATTCAGAATAGACGGAATCTCAGAGTTGTCTACACATCGCCTAACAATCTGGTCAGAACATATTCTCCAAAGATAAGGGTCATCCCATATGTAAAATCTATCTTGAGACAGAATTTTTTCACGTAGGGACTTGGGCATATTAAGAGGAAAAGTCTTGGTAACCTTAAAATTTACAATGTCAGCAAACCAAGGAATTGTAGAAACTGCCAACAGATTCTCATCTAGAAATAATCCAGTGAAATGGCTAGGATTGGATGGCGGTCCTTCTAAACGACTAAGGTGATCAGCAACTTGATTAAGTTTACCTGCCCTATCTTTAATTTCAAAATCAAATTCTTGCATTAAAAGAATCCACCGGATGAGTCTAGGTTTGCTATCCTTTTTGCTCATTAAATACTTAAGTGCAGAATGATCAGTGTGAATGTGTACCTTAACACCTAAAAGATATGACTTAAATTTCTCAAGCCCAAACACAACGGCATACATTTCCTTCTCAGTAACTGTGTAATTGACTTGGGCTGGGTCAAGGGTACAACTAGCATACTCGATAACATAAGAGGCAGTGCCTAACTTCTGTCCTAAAACAGCTCTTACGGCTCTATCGCTAGCGTCACACATCAATTCAAAAGGTAAATCCCAATTAGGAGCTTGAACAATAGGAGCAGAGCACAATTTATCCTTCAAAGTATCAAACGCAAGTTTACATGCATCATCAAACAGAAAGGGCACATCTCTAGAAAGTAAAGCAGTTAACGGAAGAGCAATCTTAGAAAAATCTTGAATAAACCGCCTATAAAACCCTGCATGTCCTAAAAAAGATCGAATGTCTTTAAGGTTTTTGGGATAAGGAAGGGTTTTAATAAGATCTACCTTAGCAGGATCAACTTCTAAGCCCTGTGCAGAGACTGTGTCCTAAAACTACCCCCTTTTCCACCATGAAGTGACATTTTTCGCAGTTAAGAACTAGATTTGACTCAATGCAGCGTTTTAGAACTAAATCCAAGTTATGAAGGCACTGGTCAAAGCTATTTCCATATACAGAAAAGTCATCCATGAAAATCTCAACAATCTTGGTGGAAAATTCAAAAAAAATGCTCATCATACACCTTTGAAAGGTAGCGGGAGCATTACAAAGACCAAACGGCATTCTCCTAAAGGCAAAGGTACCTATCGGGCATGTAAAAGTTGTTTTTTCTTGGTCTTCGGAGGCTATAGGTACTTGGATGTAGCCGGAGTACCCGTCTAAGAAACAATAATGAGACTTTCCTGAAAGTCTCTCTAACATCTGGTCCATGAAAGGAAGAGGAAAATGGTCCTTCCTAGTTACTTTGTTAAGCTTTCTATAGTCAATACATACCCTCCACTTATTGGGTTTCCTAACAGTGATGGCCTCACCTAGTTCATTAACAGCCACAGTGGCTCCTCCTTTCTTAGGGACTACGTGGATAGGACTTACCCAAGGGCTGTTTGCTATAGGGTAGATAACATCATGTTCAAGCCACTTAAGGATCTCTTCCTGAACGACCTCTAACATAGGTGGATTAAGCCTTCTAGGGTGCTCTACTTTAGGTATGGCATCAGGTTCTAGGCTTATTTTATGGCTGCAAAGTGTAGGACTTAACCCCTTTAAATCTGACAAAGTCCAACCAATTGCTTGGCTATTCTCTCGCAGGACTTTTAGGAGTTTCTCTTCCTGAATTTTGGTCAAAACACTAGAAATAATCACTGGTAGGGTCTGGTCTGGACCTAAAAATGCATACTTAAGGTCTTCGGGCAGGTCTTTAAGCTCAAGTTTAGGTGGAGAAACTAGGGATGGAGCTAGCTTAGGTTTGTTCTCAAGTAATTCAGCCCTAAACACTGGTTGGCTAAGGTTTTCTAACTCTTCAAACTCAGCAAGGTATTCAACTATGTTCAAAACTTCACTAGGAAGGCTGTACTCTAAGCATTCAAGTTCTACCCTGTCCAGGCTATTGCACAACACAGAATCAAGCACATCATCACTAGACAAGTTAAAAACAGCTTGAGCACAATCATCAATCACATCCATAGAACAAAGTTGATTATTTCAATGGGACTTTTCATCGCAGAGGATTAGTTAAATTCAATCTTTTCACCATCAAATTCCAGTGACAAAACCCCATCATAAACATCAATCTTAGCTCTAGCAGTTTTCATAAAAGGTCTACCAAGAAGAATGGGTATGTCAGAGGTATCAGAACCCATGCTCAACACATAAAAGTCAGCGGGAAAAACTAAGTCATTGACTTTCACCAAGATATCTTCAAGAAGACCCTCGGGATAAGTATAACTCCTATCTGCTAACTGAATCACTACCCCTGTCGGTTTCAATTCCCCAATATTAAGCTTATCAAAAATGTCTTTGGGCATTACATTAATAGAAGATCCTATATCCAACATGGCCCTATCAAAGTGCAAATCACCAATAATACAAGGAATGGTAAAAACACCAGGATCCTTACATTTTGGAGGAATTTTCTTTTGAAAAACTGCAGAGACATTTTCACCCATTCGTACCCGTTCGTTCCCCGTTAGCCTATTCTTGTTGGTGCAAAGCTCCTTGAGGAACTTAGCATATTTAGGGACTTGCTTAATAGCTTCTAAGAGAGGTAAATTAATCTCTACCTTCTTAAAAGTATCAAGAAGTGCAAGATCAATTTCTTTAGGCTTTCTAGGTTGAAAGAATTTGCTAGGGAAGGGTGCCTTAGGGTGAGGTAGGGCTGGATTTCTATCCCTAAGGTCAGTTTTTCCTTTTCCCTCAGATTTTTCAGCCTCATTATCCTCATCTAAGATGCTGGTTGCAGGTTCTAAAGGCTGGTCTTTAGAGTCCAGAGGCTGAATTTCAGGTTCTAAGGGCTGTTTTGGACCTATAAGTTCAACTTCTAACTCTTTTTCCTCTTCCCTAATGCTTTTAGGTTCTTTGAGCACTTTCTTATTCCTTAACTCTATAGCATTAAGGTTCTCTTTAGGGTTGGGAAAGGGTTGAGAACGCAGCCTATTGTTCATTTGAGCTTGCATATTACTAATCAAAGTTTCAGAGGCTGTTTGTCTTTCTTGAAGTTGCTTAAGACTTATGTCAACCGAAGTAAATATATCATCCATCTTTTTAAGCACTTGTTCTAACATCTGGGTTGCCCTATCTTGTTGGGGAGGTGGATTATTAGAAAAATTCAGATTATTGCCCCTCGAAGGATCATAACGCAGATTTGGATGGTCTCTCCAACCCTCATTATAAGTGTTAGAAAAAGGGTCATACTTCTTTTGGTTGCTATTATTGAAAAACAAAGCATTAACTTCAGGATTTTGGAGTGTTGGACGCGCATCAGTGGGATGTCCTTCCAAGCAACACACTCCACAAGGTTTACCCTTACTACCCCCTACATTACCAACAACAAGTTTTGATATAGCATCAGTTAAGGCAGAAAGCTTATATTCTAAAGAAGACGAATTACCTATCTCGCTAACCGGCCTCACGACAGTATCTCGAGTTCCAAATTGTTGGGTATTTTGGGCAATAGTATTAAAAAGCTCCCTCACTTGCGCGGGGGTTTTGTTCACTAATGCACCACCGCTAGCGGCATCAACAATGCCCCTCTCGGTAGGCAAAAGTCCTTCATAAAAATATTGGATTAATAGTTGTTCAGTTATTTGATGTTGAGGACAGGAACAAACAAGCTTATTAAAACGCTCCAAATATTCAGAAAAGTTCTCCCCATTCAATTGTTTAACCCCACAAATCTCTTTCCTAATCGACCCAATCCTAGATGCCGGAAAAAATTTCTCAAGAAAAGCTTTATGAAGGTCGTTCCACATGGTGAAAGATCCAGCTGGCATATAATAAAGCCAATCTTTGGCCTTATCGGAAAGGGAAAAAGGAAAGGCTCTAAGTCTAATTTGGTCTAGAGAGACTCCTTCAGGCTCCATTGCACCACATGTGATCATAAATTCAGATATGTGCCTAAAAGGATCCTCTCCAGGAAGACCATGAAACTTAGGAAGTAAATTGATAAAACTAGAATTAAGTTTAAGGGGTTTTTCCAACTCACCATAAGTGATGGAAATAGGTTGAATGGTCAAGTCAGGTGCAGCTAATTCTCTAAGAGTACGGTTAGGGGCTGCCATCCTAGAACTAGCTTGATTATGAAAAGTTGATTCTTTAAAATCAGATTTACTTATGTTTTGCACGCATACACTCACAGGTGTAATTTCAGATATGGTAAGAGCAGACCCAAACAGTTCCACAAGATTATCCAAATTAAAAGAAGGTTCGGCCTCACTTACCTGGTCGCTATTACTACCTGTTTCACTTTCGCTTTCTTCACCAATTACTTTACCACTTCTCAATCGCATAAACACAAGCTGCACATGTTCAAAACAATGCAGTATCAGTGTTTCTTTAAAACACTTTAAAGAAGGAAACGAGACACTAATCATGTTTGAACTTTTTATTCAATTTTATACAAAGAGAAGCACTTAAATTCTTAAATAAGGGAAAAAAAATCAGATTCTTTGTGAAAAATTAAACTCAAAAATCAAACTCCAGAATCAGATTTTTAACCGTTTTAACATTTTCAGAACATATATCAGCATATATGGATTAGAAAACAAGTCACAAAACATCCTGTGTACATCCAAATTAGTTCCTATGCTTGTATTTAAGCCAATGGAGTTCAACTTTCACTAAAAGGCATCTTAGGAACTTAAGAATCAGCATAAAAAGGGGGGGAAAAAACTGCAGTTTTTTTTCCTGAAAAAACAGCAACTTTAGATCAATTTTTTCCAGAAAAAACTGCACAAATCAGACCCCGAACATCATGTATTGCATCTAAAAATTGTCCTTAAGATAGATATATCAATGAAAGTGCATATTTTTAGAAAAGGGTCATTCTAAGAGGCAAAAACAACATGAAAAAAAAAGCTAAAAATGCAGATTTTGAGAAAAATCAGCAAGTAGAGTTCAGATTTTTTTTAGAAAATCAGCCACTAAGACATACAAAATGATTATACACAAGTTGTACATACTAGGATACAATATCTATGCAATTTAAATATAACATACATGAACAGTAGAGAAAAAAAAAGCATAAAATACAACAATTGACAACAACATATAAGTTTTTTTACATAAAAAATAGTTTATTCTAGCTCTCTAATAAATCACATATTTACTCAATATAAGATACTGAAGAGTTGAAAATATTTACACGTAATGAAAAAAAACTATTTACAAGATCACACATACATACAAAATTGATTTTTTTACTATTTTTTACAAAACAATATCCCCGGCAACGGCGCCAAAATTTGTTGAGGACTTGTCGTGCGGTCCAAAACAAATTAAAAATTTATAAATAACCTTAACTAACCCCCAAAATATAATCAAACAAAAACTATAGCTAGGGCAAGTAAGGGTCGATCCCACGGAGAAATGTTGTACTTTTTAAAACCAATTTAGTATGCTAACACGTTGTCACGAAAATAAATATAAAAGTAAAACTAAATACTACACAAAAGATAACACTTATAAAACTTATAATATAAACTTATGCTAATAAGTTGTGAATTGTGAATCGTAGTTTGTTTATGCATGACGGTAATCGTGGGTGTTCGGCCTGGATAGGCCACTACGTGATTTGTTGTGAATTGTGAATCGTAGTTTAAATAAAATTGATCTTATTGATGAATACTGTGGATTATGAATAATGTATGAGAAATAGGCCACCTAGTATAATTAGGCGGACCTGAATTGGATTGACTGATTGGATCACCAATAGGATATGGTTAGGAAATTGGCCATTGCGGGGCGTCGTCGCACCCCCGGTGGTCTTGGGTTAAAAACGTACGTACGGAAGTCCGCGACCTGTCCTGGCATTGCAGGGACAGGGGCTTCAACCCGCCCAAAGTGAATCTCCTTTGGGTTTCTGAGCTGGCCCTTTTATAGCATCGCTTGGGGTGCCATGACTCAAAGTAGTTGATGTGGAATAAAATAAGGACATGATGTTCAAATGGAAGGTGTTCATATAAATATGTTTATTTAAGCTATTTTTCTCCGTGATCACATGCTGTTGTTGTTTGTATGTTAATGTGGTGCTATTCTGTGAGTTAATGCTGGCTTAGGTATATTTTCAATCAGCGTTTCGCTGAGCGTGTAGTCGTTGTTGTTTGACTGCACGCAGGTAGGAACACAGATTTAGATGGGCAACCTGGAGGGCAGTGAACTGGTGGTGTGGCGTGGATGGCTCTTGTTTACATTAATAATTAAACTACATTATTTTATTTGATTATAGTAACTGTTGGACGTTACTTTGGTTTTCTTATGCTTCCGCGACATTTGGATTTATTTAATTATTCTGATGAATTTAGGTTTAGTTAAAACTCTACAGACGAATTTTATAATTGATTTAATTGTTATTTTAGAAAAGAAAATATATGCTTGCGAATACCAACTTAGTAACAACCCGATTCGCTAATCCGTTGGTTCGGGTTACGCGAGTTGGGGTGTTACAGAATATATGTACCTTAAACTTATGACCTAGCTTAAGAGTTGGATAGAAGTACCTTGAACTAGAATTAGTTTAAGAGTTGGTTAATATCAAAAGATTGGCATTAGACTAAGCATAGTTTAAGGATATTGTTGAATATTGAATATTGGATATGAATGTCGAATGTTGAGATATTGAAATAAAAATATTGAGAATATCATGAATGAATTGTATATTGTGTGCATGATATCAAATGGTTGTTTGCGAATTGAGATTCAATTTATGTGGATATTCGACGCTTTAGATATGCTTACTCAGCTTCACCGCTGAGTGTGTAGTGTGTTTTATTTGCTACACGCAGGTAGGCAGAATGAGTGATTGGCATCTTCCGAGTAGCAGAAGGGGCGAGCCGATCGTGGTGGATTTATGATTTAAAATGAATAAAATAAATTGTTATGAGACATGATTTAAATTGCTTCCGCTTTATGGTTAAAACTCCGTAATTTAATACAATTATGTATGGAATATTATTTTATCGTAAATAAAGATGTTGAAATGTTTTAAATGTTTATGATTTCCAAATTAATACTTTAGTCCGAAAAGGGCTGCAGACCTAGACGGATTAGGGTGTTACATGCTCTATAATTCTTGTCTAGCATTATTCCTAAGTAATCTTCGTTCTTGATGGACAGGGCCATACACCGTCACTAGAGTCTTTCCTTACGGGACTGTAGAAATGAAAGGTGAATTGGGAACATTCAAGGTTAATGGCCAACAAATTAAAAGATACTTTGCTGAGCCGTTTCAGAGGGAAAAGGTGGAGATTAAACTCCACAAATGATGGAGGCACCCCGTTATTTCTCCTTACTATTTTTATTCTTTCTTTTCTCTTACTTTTTGTTTGAATAAGTCAACAAGGACTTGTCGCACCTATGAGGGGGCAAGGTTTTATATAATTGTTTCATGTGCAGATGCCTCACAGACCATAGTACCCGACTGCTACACGTGCCGTCGTTCACTTGGTGGGTTCAGGGCCCATCGAGCAGTTTGAGTCGTGGGGTCAATATCGCTCATTGACGGAGTGTGTGTACCTTTCATCGGCAGTTCTTTTCGATTATGGGTACGCGGAGGAGATGGAATAGCTGCTCCATGGGACGAGGTGGCAGCGCCTCTTCATGATGTGGGCTGCGTCCAGCGTACCACTGACTATGAAGTTCCTGTGCTCCTTGGAGTTGGAGCCCTCTTCTGGGTCGAGGTCAGTGAACCTTCGATCCATCAAATCCCGTACTACCCTTGCTTTCACTCTCCTAGGCCAGGCGTTCCAGCTGACGGTCAGTGATCTGGCTACACATTTAGGTCTCTACACCTGGGAGGAGACGATGGCGTAGGAATTCCATGAGGCGCCTTACCTTTTTCTCGAGAATGTTGATCATGCTGACTTTTGGGCAGAGCATTCTACTGACCCGGACCGCTTTGACACCACGGGTCGGGCAAGGTTTTGGATCCAGCCGACTAGGAGGATCCTATATTTTGAGCTATCGACATCCTTTCGGAAGGCCGTTAAACAGAGACCGGGTCTACCCCGATGATATGATAGTCTTCTCGAGATTGCACACTCGCTAGGAGGCGAATGTGACCGTCCCGATGATATGATAGTCTTCCAGACACACATTGTTTGTGGGTTCGTGGTTACCTTACTTTTGCGGTCACTTGAGGGGTCGGGGCCCATCCCGCAGCCCCAGATGTTGATGGGAGTGTTGGGAAAAATTATAGCTTTTGATGATGATGTATTTACATTGTAATAGGGATTTTAGGTCACCCCCAATATTAAATGTAATTTTCTTTTAAGAAATATTGTTAAAACCAAGTGCTTGAGATTTCAAATAAAACTTGTGATGTTTTGTGTTTTGAGTTCATACTTTGACGACTTGCAAAAATTCAGTGATATGGAAATTGGAACTTTCGCTTGGAATTATCGGAAACAAGAAAGAAATTCTCAAAGACGTCTAATTGCTTTGGAATTCTCAAATCCGGAATGCTCGTTGATACCCGGAAGTCTCGCTACAACCCGCTCAAGGCTAAGTCATCCAAATCGGAAGACTACGCGGATCACTTTCTCACACGGAAGTCTAAGAATGACTTATCCGGAACTGTCCAGCTAAGAACAGGACGTCTCAAGGAAGACCGGAACTCTTAGAAGCGGACAAGTGAGAAAAGACTTAGAAATTTATCTAAATCATGAATGAAGAAATTCTACCCGTTGGTAAGGAAAAACCAATCTCTTGATTTTCAACAGCTAGATTGAGGATAATTCAACTGATTCAAGAACAAATGGCAAGAAGACAATGTAACGCCCCGAATTTAGGCCTAAAAGAATTAATTAATTTAAATATTAATTAATGACTAGACAGACTCGACCACTGAAAAATAAAAGTTTTCAGAAAAATATTTTAATTATATCAAAATTTTAGTTTTGAAAGTCTGATTCCAAATATGCAATCGATTTTCAATTCGGAACAGTTTGGGTGAAAAAGTGCATACCGTTTTAGATAGTTTATTAGCTACGAAGTAGGAGAATATTTTAAAATCTCCAAATCTCCCAATCACGTAGCCAATCCCCTCCAAATCTCCTTTTAGCCACTCTAGGAAGGTACCTATGAAGCCCACTACCTCAACAATCCAATCTTCAATATAATACTCCAAAAACTCTCTTCCATTTTGTCAAACTCCCATTTTACTTCACAAACATCCACTCTCTCTTTTCACTCTCTCTCTCTGTCGGCCAGCCCTCAAGGAAGGAGAAAGGAGACTCCATCTCCATTGCTGAGCTAAGAAAGAAGAAGGAGAAACAAGAAGTATCAAGGTTCCCAAAATCCTGAGCATAAAACAATCAGTCCACTTGTGAGTCAATTTTGAAAATTTCCGTTCATTTTCTCGAAAATTTTATTATACAAATATTGTAGCCCCGGACGTTACGAATCCAACCCAACAAACGGTTTGTGATTTCGTTAAGTATCGAAGGAGATATGGCAAAAATATCGGGACTGTGCCAGTGGTGGCGAGCTCCTCGGGTTGGCTATATTTCTTCACCATATTCATATTGTTTCTTTCCAAACGCTTACCGTCAACTCTTTCGTGGTTATTAGGAGCTTCCGAAATATTGGATTGGGTAAAATCTCCAACGACAAGTACCTTATCTACTCACCGCAACACTCTAATGCACATGAGTTGTGTTATTTCACTTCATGATACTCTCAAAGTAATAGAGTATTGAATGAATTGTGAGTCGAAAAACTACTTGTTGAATTAGTTATTTATCGGTTTACGATGTTCAATTGAAATTTTATTCAAATCATTTTATACAAAAAATTATGTAAAAATAAAAAATAAAAATTAGATATTTAAAAACTACGTCAAAAGATTTACAAAACTAGTATAAAATATATTGCCCAAAGTACCATAGAAATTAATAGTATGAAATCAAATTGTGAATAGTTGACAATATACAATATTGTTTGAAACATTATGCTCCGTATAAAATATGTTAAAGAATGAAACAACTAGAAAATAAAATCAAATTTAAGCACATCAAATAAACTAAACTACTTGATATAAAAGTTAAAGTAACACTAAAAACACACCACATAGGAAAAACAAATAGATTAAAAGAAACAAGCTGGAAGTATAAAGCAATACAATAAATAAAGGCAACACAAGCAATTAAATAAATGAAGGCAACCCACTACATATCATAACAAATGAAAATTACCGTAAACAAGCGTCAAGCACGTCAGACAAATTATTGTTCTTACAAATAAAAAAAAAAAGATCGCACATAAAGCAATAAGAATTTGTAGGTAGGTTCAAAGATACGATGAACCCAATACACAATGTCTTATTTTGTCTACAAACAATAAAAATTATTTAATCTTAATAATAAGAATAATTAAGAAGAAGAAGAAGAAACAAATTCTGAGGGCCGGCCTATGAGAAGAAGAATGTATCAAGAAGACTTTCTAGCTAGAGATGGGCACCAAGATTCATAGATGAAAGAGTCAGGAATCTGCTGGATTTGTTTTGTCCATGAATCCTCCGAGAGGAACGGCCAAACTAGGCTTTCAATGTAGATGCTTGCATCCGAAAGAATGTGATGATGAAAAACATGTCTATGTCGGATGGAATCGTCCCTGGGATCAAAAATCACGAATGCTGATCCAAACAGAAATAATATTTCACTTGTAACTGACCTACAAAGGAGTGATGAAAACTCATAGCCAGTAGGCCCGCTAGGACGATTGTGTAAGTTCAACAGATTGAAAGTAAAGATCTTTTCCCAAGATTCGTGAACGCCATATTCTCTCATAACCCACACGTCCGTGAGAGTGCCTGGGTTATGAATACAAAACACAGCAAGATAGCTTCCCAACACCCCCACGCAACTCGTGTAATCAAAATTTCCTTCTCCATAGCAAGGTACTTGCACATTTCCCCACATTCCATCATCAGTCAGGTCGATCCAAACGATACCCCATCCATTATAAGAATGACGATTTTGAGACCAATGTAGCTTACCATTCAAAAGAACACCCTGTCCCTTAATGTTCAGCGCAGGGGTAGGGAAATCCGCAATGGTTGTCCAAGATTCATTATTCACGCTGTATATCTCGGCCTCCTCACGAACAATAAAAAGCTTATAATCATCACGAAGCTTATCATACCCAAAACCATACACGGAACAGTAACGAGATTTGAAATCAGTAAAAGTCTTGAACTTTCTAATTGATGGATTCCATACGATGAAATCTTCCCATCCGGCACAAAAACAGATCAACCCATTAACAGAACCCATGATGCAAACACAGCTCTCATGATATCTCATGGGGTAATCCAATATGGACGGGGAAATAAAAGGGGCATAAAAGAAAGAGTTAATGGAGCAGCGAAGAAAGATGTTAGGTTGATTCGTTCCGAACAAGAGTCTATGGTGGGCATAGTCCTCGTTACTGTGAGACATAGTGAGATGGGTGTTTATGAATTCGGGTGTGGATATTAGAGCGAGCCATGATTTGGAAACGCACCTGAACTTCAAGAGGGATTTCACAGGTAGCCGCGTGAGAATTTCCTCAATCAGTTCTGGTGGCAACATTGGGACTGTAAGAGGCTTCCTCCGCCTTGGGTCGAGTGGATAGCCACCATCAATGTCTACGGACGCACTCCTAAAGCCTAAAGGTGTTTTCCTTGTTAAATACCCAGTAATTTTTATAACAGGTCCTCCTTTGTGATAGGGTACTCTATTATTAATAATTATCACAGTAGTCCTTCTTTTATGCATACTTTTCTGCAAATTGTCTTTTTTTAATTTTCTACCATATTGGTGTTAATTTGAAAGCTAAAAGCGTAATTTTACAATGATTTTATATCTTTCTTATCATATACAATCCAAAGGCCGCTCAGATGTGTCGTTTGTGAATTTCAGTCGTTTTATACTACAACTATAGTCTACATATGTGGTTTTTCATCAGAATCCTAACACACAATAATAGTCATTATTTTTGTGTTATCTGTCTATATCAAAATACATCGATGGACATAAGATTGATGTTAAATTACACCTTTAGCCTTCAAATTAACACTAATATGATAGATAAAAAAATACTATTTGTGGAAATTAAAGGTACTCATAAAAGAAGGACCACCGAGGTAATATTTGATAACAAAGGACTAAATATGGAAATCCACATGTTATAAAGGACAATTTATGAAATTTACTCAATTTTTATTTAAGAGTTTCCTAAAGTGTCCTCGCCTTTCGTTTCCTTCTTTTTTCCCTTTAATCCTCCGTTTTTGTAGTCTTTTTATTTACCTAGGATTCATTCATGCTCCCTTTAATTATCATTCCCTAATTATCATTATTTTTATGAAAACACTCCCTAAAAAATTCCAAAATTCTTTTAATTTGATTCTTCCATGTTTTTTTTAGTAATCAGCTTTATTTCTTTGCGGAATTTCACATGTCCTTATCAATTTTTCCTTTTTTTAGGAGAATGAATTTTATAATTAGTCATTTATAAAAAATGATTTTTAATATTCTCTTTTTCCCATATCTTTCTTTACGTTGCACAAAACGAATGTTAGCATATATATATTTATTTACTTCCATATATGTAATTATTTCCTTGTAATTTATTTCCTTGTAAGTAGTCTTTTCCATACTTGTAGTAGGACTTGGCATATGTATATATACATTGTAAATATTCAATGAAAAGCAGTTCAGTTTTTCCAAAAATCTACATGGTATCAGAGCCAATTTCCCGGGAACTTCTCAAACTCTAGGCTCGTATTTTTTTCTCTCGCACGGTGCCGCCACCATAGCTTCGCCGGCCGCCTCACGACGGTCGCCTCTCTCCGATCGGCTCATGTCGGTCACCACCACTGCCGCCAGACGGCTTTCGACCACCACCGCGACCCCCACGGCCGGATGCAGTGTCGCGACCCCCACGACCCTTCCCGGGCGGATATCCATGCAATTGATAACACCGAACCACGGAATGGCCATCTTTTCCACATTGAGTGCATGAATAATGGGGGGGTCTCCACGACCCATGGTAGGAGCAGGACGTTGCATGGCAAATGCGAGGGCGTCCGTACGGTCATCTCGGCCTCAGACAATGCTTTTGTGGCGTTCCTCTTGAACGATGTTTTCACCTGAAGGACTGGGGACCCTTATCTTATTTTTTGGGCATTGAGTGTGCTTGATCTGCGGCGGGTATTGTTCTTTGTCAACGGAAATATGCACTAGACATACTTCATGAAGCTAGTCTCTTGGGCTGCAAACCAACCGACACACCCATCACGCCGGACTACGGGCTGGGTACATGTTCTGTCTCAATTTTAAGGAGCAAACGTGGCCGTTCAAGCGTCCGGCCTCCAACTTTGACACACGAACAATCTCCAGAGTCTACTATAATCTTTATGCTAGTAAAGATTATAATAGTATATTTAATATAAAGATTATTTTAAGAATAATATAAATTGATGGTGTAAATTACTTGACCGGTCGAACTATACTAGACCGGGTCTAGAATAGTTTGCTCGATTTGGTGAAATAAAGAAGGTAAAAACACACAAATTGACCGGGAGGACTTTAGGTGGAACACATGCAGCCAACTCTATATTATAACAGAGAATGCACGGGTGCTTTTACAAGAGAGTTTAGAGAGAATCAATTCGGGCTCCCTACTTCTGAGAGTTACAGCCGTATTTATACTAGGTTTGGGGGGACAGGGCCACGTGCACCCACGTGGGGGCACGCTGCTGGCGTGGTGTGAGATGACTGGCTTCGTCCTTGAGCTGCCATGTCGTCTTGTGAAGGGAATTGTGCCCTTGAACCCTTCTGGGGTGGTAAACACGATACCACCCCCGTATCCTCTAGGACCGGATGCCCCATCAACTGCCATCTCCCACCATTGCTCAGTGGGCTTGTTGACCGGTAGGTCTGGAGTTAGACCGGTCATCTGCACGGGCCTGTCCCTTGATTGCTGACCTTGGCCGGTACTCAATGTTGAATTGAGTTAACATCATGGCCCACTTCACCATCCTCCCGGAGGATGTTGAATTTCGCAGTACTGCACCCAGTGGTTGGTCAGTCAGGACTTCGATCGGGTGAGCTTGGAAGTAAGATGTTAACATTTTTGCGGAGATGAAAAACGCGTAGGCTGTTTTCTCCATCGCTGCGTATCTACTTTCAGCTCCGCTTAGTGCTTTGCTCACATAATAAATAGGCTTTTGTGCCCCATCATCTCTTATTAAAACGGAGCTTACAGCATTTGGGGAAATTCCCAGGTACAGATACAAAGTTTCACCCGGTTCGGGTTTAAACAATACAATATCTGACACTAGGTACTCTTTCAGCTCCTCAAATGCCCTCTGGCAGTCTTCGTCCCATGCGAATGTGCTGGCCTTCTTCAGGACTTTGAAGAATGGCAGGGATCTCTCAGCTGACCGGGATAGAAATCGGCTGAGTGCCGCTAGACGACCGGTCAACTTTTGAACATCCCTCACTGAGGTGGGGGCTTGCATTTCAGTGATAGCCCGGATTTTCTCTGGGTTGGGCTCTATTCCTCTCTTGGTCACCATGAATCCCAAGAACTTCCCGGTACGAACCGCGAAGATGCATGCATTTCTTGGGGTTCAATCGAAGGTTGTATCTTGCCATTATATCAAATGTGGCACACACATTCTCCATGTGTCGCCTTTGGGAGCAAGGACAATGTTGGCCAGCCAATCCGGGTATTTGACTTCCCGGATGTGACCAACACTGAGGAGGTCCTTCACCTCCTTTTTGATGAAGTCTCGCCGGTCACTGGCTAGGTATCTCTTTTTCTGGCGTACCAGTCGACTTCCATCCCTCACTGCCAGCCGGTGACAGATGATTGAGCGGTCAATTCCGGGCATATCTGCCATGCTCCATGCAAATATGCCCGCATATTCTTGGAGCACTCTTCTGGGAGATTCGCTCCGATTCTGACCATCCTTGAAGAATCACCCGGGTGAAGTTCGATCTCCAGCGTCTCGGCCTCGGGTTCAAGTTTCTCCCGGGTCTCTCCCTTTGTGATTTCCTAGGAGATGACATTGACCCCCTTGGTCATCTTTTTGACTGCCCGGGCGTAGCATTCCCGGGCATTCCTCTGGTCGCCTTTCACCTCGCCCACACCGCCTGGAGTGTGGAACTTCATGCAGAGGTGAGGCATGGAAATCACCGCCCCGACTCTATTGATGCCTGGCCTTCCAAGAATTGCGTTGTGGACGCATTTGATGTCCACAACGATGAACCGCATCTTCTTCCACACGGTCATCTCACCTGATCCTAGTTCGATCGGTAGAACTATGGACCCTTCAGCTTCAATGGTGTCTCCCGTGAAGCCTGAGAGAGGAGTTTTGAGGGGTTCAAGTTATGTCCGACACAACCTGAGTTTTTGGAAAGTCTCTAGGTATAAGATGTTGACACTGCTGCTGGTGTCAACAAGTACCCGGGCAACATCCACCCCATTAATGTCCATGGTGATGACCAATGGATCATTATGATCTTCACCGGTAGGAGGGAGATCCCGGTCAGTAAAGACGATCGGCTCCCTCCTGGTGTGCTTACGCCTGGCCGGTTCAGCACTTACCTCACCAAAGTAAATGCTCTGGACCCAATTCTTCCGCTGTGCGGCCGAATCTCCACCCTCGGGTCCGCCAAAGATCATGCTGATGTGCTCTTTTTTAGCGGCCGGCTGCTGCTCCCTTTGCCGGTTGTTCCTCCGTCGGTCATTATCCCGATCATTCCCTGAAGCTGCTGGCCTAACCAACTAGTGGCTCTTCTCCTGGGCCTTCTGCAAATAATCCTTTCCAAGCTCCCCGTTGTCTATCATTTGCCGGATGACTCCCCTAACACTTTTGCATTCGGAAGTGTTATGGGAATCTGACCTATGGTATGAACAATAGGTGCCCGACCACTGCCGTCCTGTTTGAGCGGTAGGGTTTTCCAGAGGAATGACCGGTGCTTTCCTTATCTCCTAGCACTCTTCCGTGTTGACCACGCGGACGACCGGGTCATAGTGGTGCCTTGTCTGGATGGATTCCGGTGCTTCTTCCTTCTTGACTTGCACCGGCTTGGGCTTAAACCCATGCTCGGCTTCCTTCTTCGCCCGGAGTTGAGTTTCAACCTCAGCAAACTCCCATGCAGTGTGGTAGGTCTCTTGATCCGTGGCCGGGGGTTTCCTCTCTATAGGGGTGATCATTTAAATCGGACCGATCACGATAACCATTAACTCAGGTATCTAAAATTTAGGTTTTGATTTTGGGTAATCATCTAAAAAATGATCAATTAATTCGTTTCTTATGATCATTTTTTGTTTTGATATAAAATGAACTGAGTCCAACCAAATAACTTGTTGTAGCCCAAGTGAAATTTGCCCTAAATAGGACTAAAACATAATGACTTTCTTAATGTAGGACTTAAACTTTTTTATTCTCTAAATAGGACTTAATAATGACCTAGTGAGAGGAATAATGTCCAGTAATGATGGATATTTACTTAAATAATGACTACTTCATAATGACCAAAGGTCCTACATTGGTAAATAAAAACATATAGTCCTATATTGGGAAAGTCATGTTTTAGTCCTATTTAGGTAAATTTCTCATAGTTAAATCACATTCACATAAGAAAATTATAACTGAAGTATTAATTACTTTAGAAACCAAAATATCGAGAAACACTCAGTTATATACTCTTTGGGTCCGAACATAAACTTCTATTCTACTTTTTTTCCGTCCGGAATTAATCATGTCATTCTACACTTTAAATCTCAACTCTTTCAAAAATATTCTTCTCATAAAATTTTTTCTTTCTTTCTTTTCTCTTCTTTCTTCCATCTCCTCCTCCCATCTTTCTTCCAGATTTGTGTCATGCGGCAATGGTGGCAGCTAGCGTGATAGTGTGTCTAGATCTAGTCTTCTCGTTATTTCTTTTAGATATACACCATCGCCCCTTTCTCCACATTATTTGTTTTAGATTTGTGCCACAATAGTGACGATGGTGGGGTTGTGGGCGGTGTTAGGTCTAGCACCGATGGTGGAGCTGGCGGGCGACAGAGGGGCTCACAATTGCAGCAAAGGCTGGGGCTAATGGTGTGGGCTGGCAATGATGGTCGGAGCACGGGGTGGTGGTGGGGCTAAAGGTGGCGGTGTGGGCTGACGAAGATGGTCGGAACAAGGGCCGGCAGCAACAAATCGGTTGATGGTGGTGTTGGTGGCGGCTAGCTATGGAGAGGGTAGTGAATGAAGGGGGGCATTTTAGATTCATGACTTGTAATAAAAGTACTAATTTTTTTTTTTAAAAAAACCAAAGTATTAAAACTTGTTCAAACATAAAAGTCTAAAAACTCATGACCAAGAGCGTAAGAGAAGAATCTTCAAAGGAATAGCAAACCAACTTCATTATCCCTTTACAAAGCGAACCGAGCAAAAAATGAGAAAAAGAATATCTTCGCCTAATCTCCATTCCTCCAACCTGAAATTAAAGAAGAAAAACTTAAAAGAATGGAGCTAGTGTGTTCAGATGCTTAATCAGATACTCAAAATCACGTGTGTTAAGAATAAAGGAGCAAGTGTGCAAATAATGTGAATTGCCATCCTGGATCGAGAAAAACATAACAAAGGTGAACATGGTGGGGAAGAATGAAGACACGAAGCATATGCAATAATATTCATTGGAACACACACAACAACAACAACAACAACAACAACAATCTAGATTTTCTCTGGGCTTATTCAAATCTACATAAGTATAACATTTTCACTATCAAATCAAGTAGCAAGTCATACCTATCAATCTTCTAACTTTAACCGGGGGACAATGTTCATTGATTGTAGCTCCTGCAAAAATGCACACCATTTCAGAAGAGATCACATTCATGTCATGCTAAGACTAGCATAGAACAGAAGCACACTTAGGAACCTGGATTAGTAGTTTGAATGCAAAAGGCATCTTCACTCTGGACATATTATTCACATCGTTACACATTGAACAAACTCCAGCCTTCAGCTTGTAGTCATAATACCCAAGTAATCCACATTTTCGGCATACCTAAAGCATGTATTAATAACCTCAATTACTCTTTTTCTCATTTAAACTACTGTGATCATCACAGAAATGTTTCTAGCTTAAAGAGCCTCATCTCTCAACCCAGGGAC